TCCGTCTCTGCATCAAGCTGGGACGGAGGAAGACCAGTCTGTGAGCCGTCGCAGCGACCCCAGACTAGCACCTGTCCATCCTTGGTGATGGCCAAGTTGTGATGCGAGCCTCCTGCCAATGATTGGACGCCCTTGCCTTCCAAACTGTGTATGATCTTGGGTTGGAGAACGCTAGCATCATCTGCACCAGCATTCTTGGTGTAACCAGTCTCACAGTAGTTGTTCGCACCCCAGCCCCAGACGTGCCCATCTTCTGCGATGGCAAGACCGTGGTAGTCGCCGGATGCGATGTGTGTTATGCGTTGGCTGTGCTTCTTGATGGAAGAGTCGTGGAAACCAATCTTGTTGGGCTGCAAACCTTGGATGAGATTGCGCTCAGTGACACGGCGTCCAAGCTGGTTTTGCTGGCCGTTGCCCCAAGCATATACGTGGTGGTCCTTGTCCAGGGCGTAGACGTGGTTGGTACCACACACGAGCTGAATGACCTTCTTTATGCTGTCGATGTAGACGGGTCGAGGCGCTGTATGATTGTCGCGTTCGAAACCCATGATACCTTCGTTCTTTCGGAATGTGCCCCATCCATAGACCGCGCCCTCAGTAGTAAGTGCGAAAGAGCAGCTATCGCCGGCAGCGACGTCGACAAAGGTGGTGTCTTCAGGGAAGAACTCGGATGGTACGGGCGTTGGTGTGGCCTCAGCGTCGTTCAAGCCGCCGGTCTCATCCTCAGAGTCGGAGTCAGAGTCGTCCGCGTCTAGATCACGCATCTTGACGGGTGCGTTCGACGTGTCGCGTCCAAGGGCATTGTTGTCGTTGACACCCCATGTCAGGATTTTGTTGTCTTTTGTGAGTGCGACAACGTGCATGCCGCCAGTAGCAATCTTGACAACGTTCAAGTTGGACAGAGGCTCGTTGTAGCGCGGCCGCTTCACGTCGATGGCCTTGCTTGTGGCGCCGAAGCCGAGCTCGCCAGAAGAGCCTTCACCAAAGACAAAAACCTTCAGAGGTTCCGTGTAGCGGATCTCGTTGATCTCAGTCTTCTTGCCCTTGTTGCGACGCGGGCCCTTGGGGTTCGGGATCAGAGCCGGATCGACCTTCGCGGCTTCGGGCTCTGGCGTTGCGGTCTTTGACGCGGCTTTCGGGGCGGCTTTCGCTGCTGCTTTCGGGGCAGTCTTGGGGGCAGCTTTCGCTACCTTGGGCTTCTTCACGGCGGGAGCAGGCGCGTCTTCGACCTCCGGTTCGCTTTCATCGTCCTTCTTGCGCTTGGTCGTCTTCTTAGGCGCGGCCGCGGGTTCAGGTGCAGGAGTCTCTGTCTTCTTTGCGCGACTGCGTCCAGCAGCTGCTGTCTTCTTAGCGGTTGACCTTATTTCGGACGCGTTGAGCTTACGCTTCGGTGGAGCTGCCTCAACTTCGTTGGTGTCTTCGTCGGCCATCTCGACGTCCTCAGTTTCCTCGGCTTCCTCAGCTATGCCGTTGGCGACAGGCGCGTCTTCGGCTTTCTTCGCGCCTCTTCGTGGGACTGCGAGGTTTGTCAGCGATAGCATGGTTACTGTGGGTGGACGTGACGTACGGGTGCCGTTCACCTTGACATCTTTGGCGTCTTTCTTCTCAGCGGGCTTTGCGCTCGCAGAACGGGAAGCTCTAGCCATTGCGCGCGACACAAACGAGAGTTGGCGACACGAACGAAGGTTGATGCGCGTAAAAGTGTTTGGATTGGAAGTTGTTGTGAGGTGGCTGGTGTTGTCGTGTACATAGAAAAATGTTGAACTGCATTTAGCAAGGCTGGCGCTAGACTTCACATGGACCAGCTCGCTGCAGCCACGGCCCGTCAACCATTCACCGCGTACGTCACTGCCTGATTGGCTACCTAGGCAGCCTGGCTACCATCGACTGACTGACCGTCCGACACTCGTTCGTAACATTTAATATCACATGTCTCGTTACCACTGCAAGCCTTTTGCTGTTTTGTCTCCTGTTTTCAGCACGTCACTGTGTCGATCCTCGGTGTCGGCGACCTTCACTCGTGGCCGTCTTATGAACCACGGCTGACCGAGAAGCTGTACCGCTCACACGTACGTTGTTCTTATGTAATCTACACAGTGTGGATATCCAGAATGGGTCTGGTTCATGTTATACGGAAATGGTTGCTGAGCTTACACACTTCAAGACAAGGGGATGTCGGCCACCCCACAGCATGCAGCTAGAGCTCAAAGAAGATTCTGCGATATATAATGTCTATGTTGAAAATTTGTCATCGAATCAGTCAGCGTGGCCGAGGTAAGCATTTCTCCCAGCTCCTGACATCTTCCCATCTAACATCCGATAGTGGTTATGGCGTGTGACTCAAGCGAAAGCTTGTCTTCTCCGGAAGACGCACTCTCAAGAGGTTTCTCATAGGGCAACCTGCGTGGGTTCGAATCCCACCGCTGACATTATCTTTTTGCACGTTTTTGCAGCTTGCTGGCGTCGTCGCGGGCGGCGGATGCATCATGCCTTACCTTTTGGTGCTACTACTAGGCTAAAAGCGGGCCCGGGTGGCTGGCTATCGACTCACTGACCGCAACATCCAACATCACCTGTTCATCACCGCTGCAACCACTTTGCTGCTTTCGTTTCGCTTCCTGCTCCTGCGCGTTCCATCTCGACCTTTGTCTTTTCCAAGGTTGTCATCAGACTACGTTCCAGCATCGCCAGTACCTTGATGGTTGCTTGAGACAACCTCATTTGCGACGGGGACGGGTAGTACAGCGCCATGTCTTTCACCATGTTTCACAAATCCCTTGTTGTTTTTGCCCTTCTCAAAGCGGCATCCTGTGTGCAACCTGAAGCGCCGCGTCCTAAAGCGGCTCCTCTGCGCGACCTACCGTGGGCACAGCTCAACTTCCTGCATACTACCGATGTGCATGGGTGGTGGGGCGGCCATCTCCAAGAGGCGTCTTTCTCTTCTGATTGGGGCGACTATGTCTCTTTTGCAAAGCACATGCGTGAGAAAGCAGATGCGGATGGCTCAGACTTGCTGCTCATCGATACTGGAGACCGTGTTGGTGAGTTGGGTGTAAAGATGCGTATGATATGTATACTAATCTCATGTTTCCCCCTGCAGAAGGAAACGCCATCTACGACTCCTCAAAGCCTCGTGGAAAGTTAGTACTCCCTTCAAAATGCAGGTGAGATGAGTACTGACTTCCCACACCAACATCTAGGTTTACCTACGAGATCGCCAAAGAACAGAACATCGATCTGATATGCTCAGGCAACCATGAGTTGTACAAAGCAAACACTGCTGAGGGCGAATACTTCCACACGGTTCCCGACTTCAAAGGAAACTACTTGGCCTCCAATCTAGACATCTACAACCCCGAGACTGGGAAGCGGGAGCCACTCGCACCCCGCTTCAAAAGATTCACTACTAAAAACCAAGGTATACGCATCCTGGCCTTCGGATTCCTATTCGATTTCACGGGCAACGCAAACAACACTGTCGTTCAGAGGGTTGAGGACACAGTGCACGAGGAGTGGTTCACAGAAGCCCTTAAAAGCCAGGACATCGACTTGATCATCGTCTTTGGCCATGTTGACATCCGTTCCGAAGAATATGCGCTTTTGTTCTCTACTATACGGTCGATGCATTGGGATACGCCCATCCAGTTCTTCGGAGGTCATAGCCACATCCGCGACTACAAGATCTTTGATAACAAAGCTGTCGCTCTTGAAAGTGGGCGATATATGGAGACGCTCGGCTTCATGTCTATTGACGGTCTCAGTACTGGCGGTACCAAAGACGCAACGCCTCTAGCTCAGAGTCCAAAGCTCACCTTCTCCCGTCGATACATTGACAACAATCTTTATTCGCTGCGTCACCACAGCGGAAAAGACGCCAAAGAGTTCGCGACCGATCACGGTAAGAAGGTCTCCAAGGCGATTGGTGATGCCAGAGCGTCTCTTGGGCTGGGCAAAGTATACGGCTGTGCTCCACAAGATCTTTGGATCAGCCGTCGCCCATACCCGCACAACGAGAGTATCTTTACCTGGATCGAGGGGCAACTGCTGCCGCAGACTATTGAAAAGTCTGATGGCATCCAGGGTGGAAAGAAGGCATTTGTGATTACCAACACTGGCGCTATCCGCTTTGACATCTTCAAGGGAGCTTTCACCAAGGACACAAAGTTCCTGGTCTCTCCGTTCACCAGTGGGATCCGATACATCAAGGATGTACCTTACAAGGCCGCTAGTCAGGTGCTCAAATTACTAAACAATGAGGGTCCCATTATGTTGGCCATGATGGAGAGCAATGCATTCCTGCAGCCACCAGAGGTTTCGGCAGCGCGGTCTCGACCACATCTGCTTACATCTGACTTCGCCTTCGCTAAACTCCCCGAAGGCCAGGCACCTCTCCATGGCATCGATGGGCCACAACCGTTCCCAGGTTACACCACCAAGGACGATGCTGGGGCAGACGGCGATGATACGATCCACGAGCCCATCGCTTTCTACAATGTTCCGAACTGTATTCAGTCAGCTGTCGGTTTCGACCAATCAGAGACAGACGTGGAGCCAGAGACCATTGATCTCATGTATAATCAGTTTATTGAGAAATGGATATTGCTGGCGCTCGAGTACCTGGGGGCAAAAAGAGGGCTGGAGGATACTGAGGCGTTTGACAACGAGAAGAGCTTTACAGATATTATGACCGAGTGGGTGGAGGAGCACTGGGGCAGTGAGGGTAAGAAGTGTGAGGAATGATCAGAAGTGAGGCTCTGTTATCGGTCCAAGTGGTAGATGTTGAGACTGCGCGTTTTGTACATATGCCCTACGCGTCGACCAAATTCCAAGACGGGCCCGCGGCTCTCACTATACTCAAGCACTGCCTGATCTCACAAACCTCCAGATTGTGGGTGAAATGAGATCTAGTGCAACCCAATATGCTTTCGCCCGAATAACGCCTTGCCATGATAAAGTATGCCTTCCCAAACTCCAGATTCTCTGTTCGTATCGTCCTTTGACTATCGTCCGCCGCGAGCGGCGCGGGCTTGTTCTCGTTCGCTGGCGTTGTACCTGTGATAAGTGTCAGCCCCTGTCCGGGACGTAATCACCGCAATCGCCTCTTCTCCTCTTCCTTCTGGCGACGCAACACCTTGTCGGCATCGGCAGCGGGCACGTACTTGAGGAGCTTTTCGATCAGATCGACGTGGGTGAGAATCATGCGGCGGCAGCAGTAGCGTTGAAGACCGATCTCGTCGAGGGCCTCACTAGATGGAAGACGTATTAGTGAAGGTCTTGCTGCTATATAAGACTTGGAGTAGCAAAAGGTGGTCGGCTTTGGTTAGAGGGCAGGCGCGCGCGCGAATACAATCCCGAAAAGGCTTCTTACGCTTCTTCCTTTCCTTCGCTAAGGATGGTCATGTACTTCTCCCATAGGTCGCCGGTGACCTGAACATTGTGAGTGGGTGCGCGCATGAGCTGGAGAGTATGCCTATTACCTTTCCGCAAGAAAAGCAACGGATAGGAACAATCATCTTGGGGTTTCCGGAGTTTCGGTGTGATGTGGGAGATTATGCGACGACAGCCCAGTAGCTATGAGAGCGCGTAAAGTTAAGGTGAGGTTCTCGCGGTGTTGGACGTGGTGGACGCCAAAGAAAGTTGCGGGCGCGCTAGCGACGCGGGCGGTGAAAAGCTTGGGCCAAGGTCCATCAAAAAAGTTCGAAGCCTTCGACATGTCGGCTCCAGACACTCTACGACAGTCGCCCACATTCGTGGTTTCTCACGCCAACACCACCAAGAATCAGCCAGTATGGCGGATGCGACTCCACAACTGAAGAGGAAGGCCGAGGAAGCTGCGGCGCAGAAGAAGGCCAAGAAGCAGAGAAAGAGCGATGCCGCCGCGCAACTTGACGGTCGCAACGGCGAACCTGTAAACGGCGCGACCAATGCAGTACCCAAATCCACGAGCACGCCTACGCCAAAGAAGCAATCGGCTGCAACCCCGATAACGAACGGCGCGATCCAAGATGCGACGACCGACACCCCAACGAAGCCGGCTGAAGTCAATGGCAAGCTCGCCAAGTCAGGACTATCCAAGTCTGCGCTGAAAAAGAAGGACAAGAAGGAGCGAAAGGAAAAGAACAGACAAGACCGCGATGGAATTACGGAGGCTGAAGTGACAGGCACCGCGACAGAAGCCATAGTAAAGAAGAGAAAGAACAAGAAGACAGAGAGATGGATTTCCTCACGAGTTCAAGGTGGATGGTTCATACCAGCCGATCCTGTCTTCTCTCCCGACGAAAAGTATCTGATAATAGCCGACTCCAATTCGCTACGCGTATATGCCACCGAAACCTCGTTGCTTGTCAACACGCTCTCCCAAGACGACACAGGAAACCTCACAACGTATGCCCTATCACCCGCGAACCCTCACCTCGTGTACGCCGCGTACTCGAACGGGCATATAATACTGTGGAACTGGGTGGCTGGCAAGACGGCTGGCCGTTGGAACATTGGTGCCACAGTCCAGCACATGACGGTCATTTCCCCACCTGGGTCTGATTCCAAGGCCAAGGCCGACGATGACCTCGTATACTGTCATGATGTTGATGAAGGCCGCCATACCATCAGTGTGCGCGTCCTTCGTACTCGGCGCCAAGAATCCCGGGAACTGAAGGAAGTCAAGCAAGTGCTGGGTGCAAGCTCTGCGATCCGCGGTCTCCAGGTGCTTTTACAAGGCAAATATGTTGTAGCTGCTACAACTGACTCTATCGTCGTTGGAAAGCGCGCAAAGGCCAGCAAGACGGCTCTTGAGGACTTTGAGTATGTTTGGCGCGAGTTCAAGTTCTCGAAGCAGATCACCACGTTCAGCGTTTACCACCGCGAGCAACAAGACAACGGTAACCAAAGAGATGTACTGGACATTGCTGTTGGTGAGGATACTGGCGTGATTCTTCTCTTTGAAGACATTCTGGCCTCATTTGCTGCGATTGAGAAGAGCAACAAGGAAGGAGCGGACAACGCCGCGAGCTTCAGGCCCAAGAGACTCCATTGGCACAGGGACGCGGTAGGGTCTGTCAAGTGGTCTTTGGACGGCAACTACATCATCTCAGGTGGCGACGAGACTGTCCTTACGATATGGCAGCTTGCCACAGGACAACCTCAACACCTACCTCATCTTTCTGCAGCTATTGAGAATGTTGTAGTATCTCCTACTGGTTCAGCCTATGCATTGACACTGGCCAACAACTCCGTCATCGTTCTTTCTACCACCGAGCTCGAGGCCCGCACGAACATCATCGGCATCCAATCGCGTCGAATCGACTTCGAACAACAGCCTAAGGACACCAAGTCTGGCAAGTATCATGGCCTCTTTGATGCGGTACCCATGGCTGTAAATCCAGCCAATCCAGCCGAAGTCTTCTTTTCCGTACCTTCATCACAACCTCGTCGGAAGGAAGGTCTTAAGCCTGAGCCATACTTACAGACTTATGATATCGCGAACGAACGTGCTAAAGGGCGCCAGGCACTCACTCGCAACAACGCGACTGAACCAAATGTCGCGCCAGATGGAGGTCAGATCAAAGAACCCACAGTCATGCACATTCAAGTCAGCCACGATGGAGAATGGCTTGCCACAATCGATGAGGTAAGTTCTAACTGCACAAGACGCATTTGACACACACACTGACTTCTACTCCTTTCGCAGTGGGTTCCGCCACAATCAGATGCTCGCTATCTGAATGAAGGCATTCCAGAATTCAACGAGCAAGAACGTCTAAATCGTCGTGAAGTCTACCTCAAGATCTGGCGACGCGACAAGACCAGTGCGCAATGGAAGCTGGAAACTCGCATCGACGCTCCACACTTCTTCGAGGACGTATGCGGCAACGGACGAGTTTTCCATCTTGTCGCTGATCCTGCTGCTCCGGGCTTCGCGACTGTTGGTGAAGACCATGTCGTACGGATCTGGAGGCCCAAGACACGATCACGCGACGGAGTCATCGTTCGTGGGGCTCAACAGGAAGGTCTAGTCACCTGGTCACTCGATCGAGCAGTTGAGATCAATGACAAGCTCGACATTACCGAAGGCTCGCAACAATCTTTACCACCGCGCACTTCCCGACTAGCCTTCTCATCCGATGGCTCCGTCCTTGCTGTCTCAATCTCTTGGGATTTGGATGAAGATGCTGGTGTCACGCACCTGATCGACACTCACTCTGCAACCATTCGACGATCACTTACAGAGATCGATGTCACAGCTCTTTCTGGCCTTGGATTTGTTGGACAACATCTGGTAGTGGTTGCTGATGCGATCACTGTCTGGGACATGGTTTCGGACGCACTCGCGTACAGTGCCCCGATAGAAACCCCTGGCATCGGACGGCTGGAGCGCGTACCGCTCGTTCGACTAGCTTGCAACGAAGTCGATGGTACATTCGCCGTCTCACTTCCTCAATTCGAGAAGAGGACTTCGTCGAGGATCTCCATCCACAGTCCAGAGCACCAGAAGGCAATTTGGAAAGATACATGTTTCAGCATCACGCTCGGACTCGCGTCCCGAACAAGCGGTGGCTACGTTGTTCTTGACTCTAGATCGTACTTCAGGACAATCACTCCTAGCGCTGGATCGTTACAGCTGCCGACTCCCCCGCCAGAGGAACACGTCGGCAGGCGGTCCATCGCCTACCCAGTAGACGAAGAAGAAGAGGCCGGTAGACCTTTGGCGAACTTCTTGGTTTCTGGAGATCTTACTCAAGACATTGAGCGCGACGAGCATGTTTTCAATATGCAGGATCTGCAGAATGTGCTGCATGACGGCTCAGTCCCTCCGCCACCGCAGGGTCTGTTCGATAACATTTTGGCGCTGATTGGCGGGAAGCCGCAAAAGGCAGCAGCATAGGAGCTGTATTGCTGTACTATAGTCTTGATAAAATACCACGACATTGAGATGCGTTTGTTCATGCCGAGTGTACTGATGCGTTCGGTGCAGCTAGCACATAATCATGAGGACGAGGCCCGTCGGATAGGTGCACGAAGAGTCGTGACACTGCATGAGAAAGCAGAATGACTTTGGTAGCAAACTTTGACTACACATTTTCTCTTCTTTTCCCAAAAGCTGTACCTAAATACGCATGCCTCTTCCACCTTCGACTAGCCAGCGCCCCTGAGCGTGGCCGCAGCCGCGCTCGCCTCACCGCCACACCTCCATGCTTCCGACTGCCGCTTTCATCCTTTCCCTCTGCGTAGCACACCATTCTTGAGTCCAGTTGTTTCGACGGTATTGCCGAGCACCATGGAGCCTACGCGAACCTGTTTTGTCTAAAAAAAAATCGATTGCTGACTACTCTAGGGGTACGCAAAAACAAATCGGAGGATGCATCACGATGTACCAGGCATTGCAAACCTCAAAAACAATGAGGGTTGCCCGTTCACGGAATCGAACCGTGGATCTTCGCATATCGAACATATGCTGCGTTACGAGTGCGACGCAGTACCACTGTGCTAAACGGGCGGATGTGGTTGACGAAATTGAAAATTACAAAAAATATAACCATACGTTTGTGAGTTTAGAGGATGTGCCAGGTGGCTGAATGCATCAGCTGCGAACGATTTGATGGTGGGGCAATGCCGCAGCGGGGTTACGTATCTTTCAAGCAAGCTCGGTTGGGGGTTCCGCTGCTAATGCTGGTCTGGGTATGGCGTCTCGAGCATTGCAACACGACCTCGGAAATCAACCATTGAATCAATCGAAACCTTCATGCCACTAAACAAACTCGTATTATGCTCACATCCAAGCTCTTCGTTGGAAACGAAGTCGTGTTTACGCGTCTTTCTTCTCATATGTGTGCTCGATAAGGCAGACTTACGAAGATGGAGCAATGGAAGGTGGGGTGACCACGCCGCAAACCTGCAGTTTCCTCTTCTACGAGATATAGGCAACTACAGAAGCGCTACAAGCACCGTTTTCAGACCCCCAGTGAACTCGCAATGTTCTGTGAGCTCTGTAGAAAGTCGTTATCGCAGTATCGCATACTATGGTGGTTTTCAAAGAACGCCGAGTCAAAGCATGACCCAGAGGTCGAATATGATTTCAGCGTGGGCCTGAGAAGCTTCAGCGTAAGTCTGACAAGCAATATACATTATGAGTCTTGAAAAGAAGCAACACTAATGTCTTCGTTATCAGGAACTTCATCATCGTACACGAGACTCACTTTTCAGGTCGGTAGCCAATGGATGCTATATATGTGTGTTGGTCTGGAGTCGGTTATCGAAGGCTGAACAGGAATACTTTCATGCCACGCAACCACGAACTCATGATGGAGTCTTAGTGGACGATACCGGCGCCGAGTCTTCGTGGGTCACTAAGATAGTTATGACTCCGCAATACCGAACCAACGGAGTTAGCTTCTGTGTAAGGTACGACTTGCCAAACTTTCCAAGGTTGTATCCAAAACATAGCCCTTTTTCGCTACAAAGAAAGATCGGTACGTTGATTAGCCGTTTACAATCCGGCAGAAACTAAGTTACCACAGATTACATACGCAGCCCGGAATTACCACCACTGGGCCGTGTCACCACTGACAATACAGGCTCAGATGCGTCCTTCCAGGTGGCTGCCAAATGGCTGCAAGATTGTAGTCAAAACCACAGAGACTGCAACGCAAGTAACGACAGGAACTCCTGGTATCCGACGCGACTGTTAGATCTAGGACACTGCAACAGTGAGATCAGCTGTGTATGGCTCATACATACAGCAGAAACGCCGCCGTCGGGCCCCTACGCCACCCTCAGTCATTGCTGGGGAAGCGCAAAGCTGATACAGCTGACCACTGCAATGGCGAAAAGCCATTGTCCAGTATACCAAATCGATGATCTACCAAGAACATTCCGAGAAGCAGTAGAAGCAGCCAAAAGACTTGGAATTCGGTATCTATGGGTGGACAGCCTTTGCATTATCCAGGGTGAAACTGAACACCAGGACTGGTACCGTGAAGCTAGCCTGATGGACAAAGTCTATTTCAATTCCTATTGTAATCTGTCTGCAGCGGATGCCAGCGACAGCACTGAAGGCCTTTTTCGGTTCCGTCAGCCTCAGTTCTGCGGGACCGTCAGCTTTAAGGCTGAAACTAGCCGTGCGGACCCGGATACCCAACCCGCGGATTATGTCTTGCACGAAGATATTTTGTGGAAACGTCACGTACTGGATGCAAAGCTTAATAGCAGGGGATGGGTTTTCCAGGAGAGGCTTCTCGCGCCACGGGTCCTTCACTTTTGTCGCTATCAGCTATTCTGGGAGTGTCGGGAACTTGGCGCTTGTGAAACGTCCCCAGAGGGGATTTCATCACGTGTAAGCCAAGGTCATGACATGAAGAAGCTCTGGCAAATAAAGGCCTCAAACGCCGCGGACTTCTATCTAAGTTTCTGGTATCGGCAGGTCCTTGGTCACTATACAAATATGGATTTGTCAGTACCAAGCGATAAGCTAATAGCGCTTTCCGGTATCGCCAAACATATAATGCCTCACACTGGGGACACTTACGTCGCTGGCATGTGGCGCAAGAGTCTCGGAACGCATCTATTTTGGATAACCCTGACTGATCCACGTACCTCCCGACCTCAGGTATACAGAGCACCTACATGGAGCTGGGCTTCTCTTGATGGACGTATAGGGTTTAGGGATTGCTCAGAAGAAGAGTGTTTAGTGCAAGTCAAGGATGTTTCTCTCCAGTACGCGACGGAAGATATAACCGGTGCAGTGACGAGTGGATGGTTGGACTTGCGTGGCTCACTAAAGCCCATGAAACTGTGCCCAAAGGTCCATGTGTATAGGGCAGGTGAACAATTCGATTGTCCACCCGTAAATATGGCCGTGGTAGTCGACGGAGCATTGGTTTGTTCAAACGAGGTGAACGGTCAGGAGACTTGGCGAGATTTTCCTTCGCTACACTTTGACACTCCCCTGGTCACCGAGACTGCATTCAGCGATGACAGCGCGAGCGGCAATCTCTTCTTCATGCCATATCAATTACAGCGAGACGTGCCTGGTAAACCGAAAGAAAGGGATCCGGTCTCTTGCTTAATGGTAAGGCTTGTTAATGAGGAAAGAAAGTTGTTTGAGAGGATAGGGTTTGTCGAGGCTAGCTCGCATCAAGGCAGAGACCAGTTGCTGGTGGAGTTGGACGAAGAAACAAAAGCTCGTCTGCCTTGTCTCCGCTACGAGAACGGGCTCCATACGATCCGGATCATCTAGAACGCCGTCTAGCCCTAGCCAAGGCTATCAAATAATCCTGCCAGACATCCTCCTCTTTCCGCATAAAGAAATCCAGATCCCGAGGTCCCTTTCTAGATCTCGATAGCCCGCCTCTGACGAGCACTTGGCCCAAACCGTGCTGATGTTCAGGGTTCAGTCAGGGTCTGGAGCGCTAGAAGGCGGGATAAGTGGGGCGGCTGCGCCTCGGCCACTCCCAATCATCTGGGCACGCGACAGCCACGGCACGCACTGTCAGCCGGTGACGTAGCGCGAGCTTGTTGTATATCACGATGCCAGCCTCCCCGCGGATGCAAGTCCGATGCGCCAAAACATCACTCGAATTTCATAGTTTGTCGATCAAATTCTACCTAACCAATCACATCAACCATGGCTACTAGCAACCAGTCGGCACAATTCCAGGGTGTGTTTATCCAGTCTTGCGCTATTCTTCAACGGTCTCGTTGCTATTAGTTTGGCGATGAACAAGCGCGTATACCTATGTATGCTAACAACTTGTAGAGCCTCCTACGGATGGGCTTCCAGGGGCTACCAGCACCACCTCCCCTTCTGTCGACAGCACCGCACCCTCGCATGACAACATCGACCTTCAATTCCAAGGTTCGTGTCTCTCTACTCCATCATCCTGTTCGATTATATGGCCTACTAGGCCCACTCGTGTAGACACTCAACAAACAAGCTAACACGTTCCTACAGAGCCAATTGCTCCAGAGACATCGACGTCCACCTCTACATCCACTGACGACAATGATAACTCGCTCCACAAGACCACGACCGACAAACTCAAAGACGCAGTGAAGAAGCCGTTTGGCAGTTCAGACGAATCCTCCGACCCGCACACGCTAGGCAAGAAGGAGATTACCAGTCCCGAGATGGCAGCTGCGAATGAGGTGCTTGCAGCCAAGGATCTCAAGTCGCCGTAAGGATGTAATGGCGGAGGCAAATGGAAAGAAACTAAGTCGGGCAAGTCAAATTGGCACCTGAAGATTATGAACGCCTTTGCAGAAGAAGTGATGGTGCTGCAGGGGCAGTAGACATCCTGTGTCCACGAGATGAATGCGCAACGGAGTTAAGGTATTTCATGACCTGGTTGGCAATAACCACTTAATAGCAAACTTCTATTACGTCAAATTTCCCCAGCACCCTTTAATGACATATATAAAGGTCTCATAGACCACATCTCGCATTTCATAACGCGAAGCAGTTGCACATGCGGACACGGGTACGTAGAATAACGACGTGTATTCGAAGTCAAAGTGGGTATGTACGAAGACGCAAACGTGTCTCGACCCTTCATCTTCCTCTTCACCAAAAACTTTCTACCCATCTTCTGAAATCCCTACCCATAGAACGAAGAACGAAAAATTGAACACCATCCTGATGCTAAAAAGAAGGACGCCCCACCTCTCAGACAGCGGGATTTTCGTGCAATACGGTCTGATCGAGATTCAGGTCACACTCATGTGGATGCTGAAGACAGTACTTGGGCATCAGCGGACTAGCCTGTACACCGGTCGCAACAAGATACTCCCTGAAGTTGAGAATACGCTGCGTCAGTTCTGTGGTCCTCTTGTTGCCATTGTCATCCCTGTTTCCACTCCAGACAAGTTCGGCAAGCGCAGCAGCGCGCGGCCACATCTTCTGAGAAATGACGACTGAGTCGACTTGCTCGGACCAGAGAGGCGCGATGGCGCCTTGTACAAGCGCCTTTTGGGTGTCTGTGAGGTTGAGAGTGAAGTCATAGTCGTAGATGCGCTGCCATGTCTTGTATGGTGCGCACCAGGAGCCACCGCCGCCGCCCCAGTTGAAGTTCGCTGAACCGTCTGTCGCATTGGGGTTGACCATGACATTGTACCTCTGGTCGTTGCCGACCCAGCCTCCGTATCCACAGTCCAGGTACATGAAATCGGAGCTGGAAACAATGACGCGGTAGCCCTGTCCGGTAAGATTGCTGATGTGGTCGAGACCGTTGTTCCAAGCTTGTAGGACGACGTCTTTGGGTACGACACCTGTAGCGGCCACGTCAGCGGAAAGCTTGACGTCTTCCCACATGACGAAAGTCTTGTTGGCTTGTGCACGAAAGTTGGGGATTGCGCGATCAACCCAGACTTGGTAGAGGTCGCCCATTGATTTGCCGCTGTTGAAGAATGCGAGGGCTGCAGTGGAGAAGTTGTTGCAGTTTGCAAAGAGCTCGTCACCACCAATGTGGAACCAGTTGTCTGGGAAGACCTGTGTCATTTCCTTGTACACTTTGGCTGTAACCTCGTAGGTCTTGTTGTTAAGAATATCAAGTTGACCTGGGTTGGGCTCTACGCCTGTGTGCAGTGCGTAGTTGTCGTTTGACCACCAGCTGTGTTGGCATGTAAGTAGGGACTCGTCGATTTGCGCCCAGCCGGAGCTGGCGTGTCCTGGCATATCAATTTCCGGAATGATGCGTACGCCGCGTGCGGAGGCGTAGGCGATGACTTCCTTCAGCATGTCTTGCGTGAAAATTTCGTTGGCTGAGTAGGCGTCCTCAGTCATCTCGGGATACGCATTGATTTCTACGGCCCAGGACTGCGAATCGATGAGATGCCAGTGTAGAACATTGAGCTTCGAAAGAGCCATTCCGTCGATTTGTTCAAAGATTTTGGCCTTGGTAATGAAGTTGCGGCCTGTATCGATCATGATACCGCGCACCGGATAGAGTGGCGCATCCTTGACAGCGACGGGTTGTTCGATGATCATCTTACCTGAGCCATCGTTGATCACAATCTGCTGGAGCGTGGTGAGAGCGTGGAGGGCGCCGTAGACAGTTCCAGCAGTGATATCGACAGTATCCGAGCCAGCTGCGACGTCGAGCGTGTAGGATTCATCTACACCATGTTGAAGCTCAGCGTGGGCATTCGAGACGTCAATTTTGACCTTGGTGATTGTGCTTGTGCAATTTCCGGGTGGTGCACTGTACTGCCTCTTGCGCTTTCTTGAAGCAGCGGTTGGGGTTGGAAAAGGCTGAAACAATGTGACCGAGGCTTCGGTGGCTTGCGGAATCCACTTCAGCTCCGCGATGGTCTTAGTAACGCGGTCGAACGCAGCGGAGAGCACCTCATGGTCCGGCGCATCGAGAGCGACAGATCCGAAAGAGAAGCAGCCAGAGTCGCCCCAGGTAATGTTTGTGGGTTTCGGGAGAGGGTTTGCGGCGACAGCTTCAGCTTGTCTGGCGAACAAGGCTGAGGCTGTGACCACGGAGGCCAAGATGAAATCGCGCATGGTTATTCAGCTGTCAGGATGCTACTTTGTAATGAGAGTGGGAGCAACGACTGCGGGAAGTGAGTGGGTTCTTATGTTGTTGTTATAAATGGCCAACAACCATGAGTGGTGACGACGAACAGCGTTGATGGTGTACTCCGAAGTAAATTCACAACGTGAGGGAGGGAAGGAGGATGTCTATCAATTTCGCATCGAGTAATTCAGCTTTGCCATCCTGGTTAGGCTATTCGCATCCCAAGCTCACAGATCAGCGACTGGGCGGTGCACTAACCGGGAAGTGCCCCTTAGCTGATATATCAGGGCCAGTTAGTTGCTCAGCCTTGCTGCATATGCGAGCTCTCGACAGCCTCTGCTGCAACCCATTCCCGCTCTCACCAGACCGCGCCGCCCCCGCGCTCGCATCCGTACCGCATTTCTCTTGTGGCTGCTGCCGTGTTGCAACGTACCCCACCTGCTTTGCTCATCCTTGGGAGCATATACGAAGTGTGCGCCCCCAGGTTCGATACTACGTTCTGTGTCCACGCCTTGGAATATAGCCATGGTAACCCTGCACGCTGACAACCTGCACCGAGTGCTGGGGTTGGCGTGACGGCCCCCGAGCAGGAGGCTAGAGTAAAAGTGGGTTCCCCACCACCCGACCGCGAATGGAGCTCTCGGAATCCGCGCTAAAACAAACGGCTGGTACCCCAACATGCTTGCCTCGTGTTACCATGACCTGCTCTTTCTGTTGCGACAAATTTGGCTTGACATTCCGGGGTGAGTGTGCATGTGGGAAGTCTGGTGTAACAGTCTCATATACGAGTGCAGTGGTGGTCATGGTTGTCGTGAGGAATGCAGCGACGACTTGGAAGGGTGGCGCTTCGGAGGTTTTGGTGGATCCGCGAACGCGTGGCGCCGTCCTTCTTCCTTCGGAGCTGCGAGCCTGTGCGGGCTGATGCATGAGGCACAGCAATCGGCTGTCGACATGTCTTATCACTCAATCTGCGTTGTTGGTGCGTGGAGACAATGTGGTCACTTGTCTAAGCCTGTAGTCATGGGCTGTTTCAGTGTACCAATCATGACGCTTTTATTTCTAGCAATCAAATAAGCTTCAGCTTGCGCCCTGATGCGACAGCCACGGCTGGCGGCACTGCTACCGTCTCCTCCAAGATGACGCTACCATACCTATCCGCCATACCATTGCATAACTGTGCACCGTTTGCTCACCAGTTTCAGATTTTCCTCGGCATAGGCTGGCGAACACTACAATCGGGCCGTACGCGAGAGCCAAATGTAAGACAACATGCAGGTACACGGGTTTGCTGATGTTGATGGCTGGCTATTTCTCATGTGAAGGTGCACCAGGAGCAGGAGTAGAACCAGAACCAGACGCAGGCGCAGACGCAGCCTCACCTACCGGCGCAACACTACCAGACCCAGTCACAACCTCGTGATGAAGCTCGCTTTTGATCTTAGTCCAGTCCGGTGCTGCCACACTGAGCAACTTGCAAACGTCCTTCCGCCTCTTTCTGAAATCCTCATATAAGCCCTTCCATATCCGTCTCTCAGCGCAGGTTCCCTCGGGGCTGCCCCCACAATCGGGCTGCATCTCCTCTAACGCCTGTTCTGACCACATGACTGATGGGGGAGGCAGCGGCAGGTCGCTGAACTGGATGATCTTCCCCTCCTTGTAGACCTTCTCAGCGTCCCATGGCTCATCAGCGCTGCCCAGATACTCGGAATGATTGTGGCGCCTGAACTCTGCCGTACGAAGGGCGTAAGGTCGATGTGGAAGTACTAGCGCGCTCTCCTCAAAGCGTTCGTTGAGGATCTCCATGTCATATCTGTGCATTTCGACCAACATGCTATCACCACCCCCTTCCATGCGGTTCTTGAACTTCGCAAGCTCGTCGAGGCTAGGCTTGACTACCATGAGCGTCGTCGACAATGGCCACGGTTTGCTATCCGTCCAGTATGCCCGTGCCATCGCTATCGGCGTCTGAGGGAGGAGGAAGAGCTCATCGAGAGCGTCGAGGAGCGTGATCTGCGACTCCAAAGCGATTACGCGGTCGTAGTACTCTAGGCCAAAGGCCATGAGCTTCGTGACGGTCTTGTCCCATACCCAGTCACCTGAGAACAGTCAGCCATGTGCTTGTAGAGTCTCGCTTCATGTGCCGGGCGAATGGGCACTTGCGCAACGCATACCTTCTGTACGGCCTGCTACCTCAAGCAGCCTGATAGGATGAAGCTTTGCCTTGTATACATCGCGCGCTAAGTTGAGTAGTTGACTGTCTCGGTCCTGAGCGCTGTCTACTTTTGTGTCCCAAAACTCCGGGTAGAAGAGGACGCGGTCTGCCTTGCTACCGAATCGAGCGAGCGCGTCCAGGACCATCACGGCGTGGCATAGTTGGGTGCTGTCGGTCGCGTACACGCTGTACGCATAATTCGACCAATTGACCCTGATAGTATCTCCAGTATGAGGTGTCGTCTTGCGCGATGGATAGAGGATCCAGCAGATAAGGAAGAAGCCGAGGAAGTAGTACGCGTGGCGGCGTCGCAGGCGGAACGAGGGAGATTTAGCTTCGTCTACGAACCGCGGCAGCTCATCTGATCGTCGCCGACGCATTGTACGGTTGGCGTTGACGTTCGACCGACATGTTCGAGCGATTGTGTTGGTTGTTCAGGTGTCAGGAAGCGACTGGTGACGCGGAATCGCGGAAGTGTAGTGCGGAACTCCGGACTTCCAGGCTGCGACGCATTACGGCCTTGCATTGACAACTTTATATACTAGAGTGCGCACTATGTCCCTCTAGGTGTAGAAATTAACGACGGGTATCTTTCAGAAAGGGAGGAACATGGCATATGTGTAAGATCTGTCAAAGGATTATCACAACACGCATGAGACCGTTTTGATTCGACAAGATGCATTGTATCATTGCCGTATGCCAGGGTCACTTTTTGTAGTATGGTATCAAACATCCCAAACGCCGCGGCTGTGCAAACTCCACCGGTCCCGGGACGGGTAACTCTGGGTGGGAGACGTTGTCCTCATTCAGCTATGTAGCACCCTCTATGGCATATATCGTTCCATCGTGATCGTGAACACTTCTTGGTGCAAACGCTTACTCCTCAGGAACTGCGCTCTGTTAGTGATTGATTTTCGCAAATTGCCAAGTATAACATACTCTCAATCTCGCCAGCCTTGATGTCATCAGAGACATCCTTGGGGCTGCGACCGTCAACCTTGCAGCCGGTGCTGAAGGCAGTTCCGAGGATCTCAAGAACGGTACCCTGGAGGGACTTGGCCATCGACTTGAAGCGCATGGTGCGGGCAATGCTGATGATCTCATCGAGGGGGACGCTCTTGGTGTGCTTGATGTTCTTCTCCTTCTTGCGGTCCCGGGGAGGCTCCTTGAGGGCCTTGATGACGAGGGAGGAAGCGGAGGGAACGACGGAAACGGCGGCTTGACGGTTTTGGATGGTCAACTTGACGGTGACACGGAGACCCTTCCAGTCACCTGTGGCCTTGGCGATATCTTCACCGACCTCTGCAGAACGAATTAGTATTTCCATCCATGTGCGCTGGTCGATGGGTTCGTGGCGTACTCTTAGGCGAGAGACCGAGGGGACCGATCTTGGGGGCGAGCGCGGATGAGGCACCGACTTCACCACCGGTCGCACGGAGGTGAATGACCTTCACCTCGGAGGGATCGAACTTGGGAGCTTTGAGGATGTAAGCGCATGGCGATTTCTAGGAAAGCCTGGCTGTTGAAGATGATTGAATTCTCTGAGTGTCAAGAAACACCCTCCATTGGGTGTCCTAGCCACTCAGAAACTTCGCGCATCTTCGTAAGAGCCGACCAGAAGGATGATACTCACGCATGGCTAGTGCTTGAGGTAGTCAATCGGTTCTGGTTGTAAAGAGAGACTGCCGTTAATTTTGTCGGTTCGAAAGTTCGTGAGAAACGGATTCTCGGTGGGGAGCAATATTGGTCGACCTGTGAGAGAAGCGAGCCTTGGCAGCACCTTCCCCAATGGGCGATAGCATCTTTGCGTGCATCTCGGGCATCTCGGGCAACGCCGCATTGCTTCACATCATATTCCACCACTACGTGAGTTGGTCTTCCAAATGCATGGAGAGAAAATCCCTATGTCAATATATGATCGCTCTCTTGCTTCAACATCACACGTCCAAAATAGTGACCAACACGCTTCACACAACGCCATCCACGATGCCAGAACAATGTGACAATGTGAAGATGCCCTCATCATGATTATATTCTGCAGTGACAAGACCTTCTTCTGATACAGGTCGTTCATGTTCCTCAACCCCATATACCAAACGTCCACCAGCCAGCAGCACGAGCACAGCCGACAGCAGCACGACAGCACAAACACCATGTACTTCACCTGATTGGCAATCAGTATGCACGAATACAAGACCTGGTATCATATTTCCTTTCAAATAACAATAGTCTTCTTACTTCCTCGCAACTGTATCTATATCTAATTTCCACGGGAACGATAGCACAACACAGCAAACCATGGTCATACAACCTCCCTACAGAAACATACACAGACGCTGCGAGAAAGCAATTCGAATGACGGATCAGGTCGACTTCCTTGTATGTGTGATTCAAAATGACTTTATACCTCGTGGAAACATTCTAAACACCGTGGAATAGAATCGAGCCGAAAACGACAAGGGCACTTCGAAGAAGAAGGATGACGAAACACCAGCGCCTGAATGTATTCAGGGAGAGTCAAAACCCGACGCTACCAAGTCTTCGCCTGATGTCGATACCATAACCCTTAAATGGCCTCTACCCCCGTCCGCCATACACGACGGTCTCTTATTCAGGAAAGTTGGATAACACAATGGGACATGCTGAGTTGCCTTGATACACTGTTTTTATTTCGTTTCTCGCACGCGCAAGCATGCGACTTCTATAAGCCTATGAGGGTCCCGATTGAGGGAAATGTGTGCCATAAGAAAGGCTGGCGATATTGACTCTATGACCACCTGAAATGACAACTCGCTGGTAACGCCCATCAATATCACAGAGCCAATAGTTATGTCCGAAATACCTCGGTAGTGATTTTCTCCAGAGCGTAATTCTTTCTCCAACAAAACATCACGCACCTCGTCCTCTGGAGATGCCCAGTCCCTGAGCTGCGGGAGCATTCTTTTCCCTCTCACTCACGCTGCTCCTTCTCCCAGCGATAGCCGACACACTTTCGCTCCTTGAACTATCCATGCTCTGCCTCATGCTACTGGAGCTAGACCTGCGCCTAGCACGTCTCGCCTCGTCGGGATCATGGGGATTCAGCCCGCTTGCTCTTGCGAACAAATTCAGGATATCCGTGAGACTGATGACGCCACTTAGTCTGCCAGATAAGCTAGCCCCTGGCATAGCAGAGATTGCTGATGCAGAGATAGCTGGGGCAACCGCTCCGGTACTAGCGAGGTGGGTCGGCGCAGTGGAATTGACGGGTGTTGGGCCTGCCATCCCTGGTAGTGGTGTGATTGGCGAAGGAGGAACAACAATCGCAGGTGTTATCGCTGGAGTCGATGGCCCTGATGAGGCCGGAGACGGCGCATCCACGACCCACATGCGATGCGAGCGGGTTGCGACTAGCTTGGCCACAGTGTGTGCGAGGGTACTGAATGGGTTGACGTGGAACACGGGGAAGGAGTCCTTGCCGTCATTCACTCCCCTTTCGGACAAGATGACAGATATGAAGTGAATACAGGATGAGCGAAGCAGTGGGAGCGATGTGGATTTGGTCAAGAGCTATGAGCCAGCCGTTAGTCGCGTAATATGAAACTGACCAGAGGAGACTTACCCGAACATCCACATGGGATATGTTGCCGATAACGTTGTTTTGCGCGTCCAAGACTGGGAGTGACGACACGCCTTCGTTGTTCATGAGCTCCAGAGCCGCTGCAAGAGGCTTATCTCCACTAACATCCAGTCAGCTGTGTGATTTCTGCGAACCCGCGCTATACTCACTTGATGGCTAGAACGGTCTTGGATCCAAGATTCAGGTCTTTGATCAGCTGTGGGTACAGCTGGTTTACGCCTGGGAAGCTCGATCGGTTCTCCCAGAAGAATTGCACCAGTCTTAGCTGGGTAAGTATGCCCTTGACGTTCGATGTGCCTTCTTCTGCGACCAACACTCTATGTACGCCGCTTCCGAAGACTTCTATGGCCTTGGACAGATCTGTTGTCTCGTCGAGAGTAATCAACGGCTCCTTCCTGCCACCAACCTCTTTTACGTCTTTGAGCGGTATGGGTTTTCCTTCTCTTCCTTTCTGCGCAAGCTCGTCGAACGAGGCGATGTCGCCTTCTTCGGGGTGCGCGAGGCCGACTACGAGGAGGAGGTACGCGTTCAGGTCGCTGTAATCGAAGGTCCCGGTCGCATGCCGTGTGTTGGCGTCTTCGCGCAGGAGGACGACATTAGGGGCGCCATGTTTGACTAGTATCTATGCAAATCAGCCCATGCGCATGAAGATAGCTGTATATAACCCACGCTCGTCGCATCCTCAACGCTGGTATCGTACTCGACGAACCTCACCAGGTCAGGATCGACAATCTCTCCCAGTCTGACAGTCTTCCAATCGCGTCCCTGGAACTTTGGATCACCACCCTTGGTTGGTGGGTTGTTGAGGAGGTCCTGTAGCGCTTGCTGTGTCAGTGAAGGCTGCCGTGACGCGCGTGGTGATGTGGGCGTTCCTCGCATGTGCTCCGCGAAGCTCGAACGGTGGGACGATGCCGGGCTGGGGCTGGAGCCCAGTTTGAGCGCAGTCGGAGGTGTGCGGCCGATGGAAGATACGGAGCTGTTAAGGGACGTGTCCTTGACGTCAATAGCCTCCGTGGTGTCGTGGTCTGCCATGGTGACGGCGGCTATGTTTTGGCGTATGCGGGGCTCCACACAAAGTGTTTGTCGGAACGCGCGGGTGCGGAGGTACTTGTATGCGCGTGATGGCTAGATGCTCTGAATGGTCCTGTCGCAAGAAGATGAGCAGTCGCGCGTCTTGCAGCTTCAAGTTGGGCTGAGTGGTGTTTGCGGCATGTGAAGTGCAACGAGGTGGGGAGGGCTTGCCTGCAGCTGCAGAGCCCAGAAGATCGTCTCCTGCCTGGCCAGGGCACTTGGGCCGCAAGCTGCAGCCAAAATGCGGGGTGTGATTCGCTGCATACCATTACTATCAACCGTGTCGCCCAAGATTGCGCATCGACTGACACAGCCTTGCGGGGTTACAGACGCGTCCGCGAGTGACGGCGGCGGACGGGCGCTCCAAGCCATTCAATCGCGTGCGCGACGTCATACTGAAGTATAGAGAAACCGGGGAAGCACGCCAATCGCGCAAGGGGTCCAAGGCTCTAAGCGGTGGTCAATCATAATAGCATTGCATTCATAAAAAAAAACTCTTGTTCGCAGCCCTCGGGCTGGTTGATTTCCGCCCATACTAACATCCTGAACAATTGTCAAGGAATAGCCTTCCGTGATTTATCAGGTTTTGCCCAACGCCCGCCTCAAAGCATGACTCGAGTGAAACAAGAAACATTTCCCTAAGCGTCCTTCTGCTGCTCATAGTCCATGCCAGCATCTTTGTCAGCTTGACGCTGCGCCATGCGCTCGCGAATGGCGTCTCCAGACGTAGAGTCTCCATCACGACCACTGGCGGGGGGCGCATGGCTCGCTGTGTCGACGACGTTGTCATCGTAGGTCATGCCGTTCATCATGCGTGCTTCCTTCTTCTGTTGCTCCGTGCTGGACATGGTCTGCGTCGAACCAGAACTGACAGGCACGCTGACGCCGGACATTGGACTGGTCGGCGTCTGTTCTCGCAAGTAGCCCGGCAGAGCGCTTGCCTTTCCAACAGCAGGGCTGCCGAGTTGACTATGCTGCCGAGCTGGTGTGCGCGCACCCTCTCCGAAGCCAACAAGAGAGGCGGCTTCGTCACTGAAGCCTCCGATGCTTGATGTGTCCATGTCCTGGTCCTCGCTCATGCGGTCCGGCTCGTAGACATCGCTGCCACTTGCCCACGTCGTGCGACCGCCAACGGATCCGGTTGCGCTGGCACTGCCAACCGTGCTGCGCTCACGGAAGAGCTGCGGCTGGTTGTTTGCGTCAAAGTAGCCTGGCGGAGGATTGGCTGCGCTGCCTGGGTTGAGTCCTTGGGGAGTGCGGCCCGAGACTGCAACGCGCTCCAGACCGGCCAGGCGCGAGATGCGGTCGGCACGCTCAGCTTCAGCAGGGTTCCGGTGGTGGGGGAAGTGGCCGCGATGTCCGTCTTTGATGGCGACAGTCGAGAGCTCAGACATGGTCGTGGTGACCGAGTTCGGGGTACCTCTGTGTATACAGCGTCAGTCCGACTATTTCAATGAACCCCACCAAGCGCATGTGCCTTACGGAGCATCACCAGGCGTCTCGTCGCCAGACGGCGGAGGCGGCAGGTTGATCAAGGTGGGCGCGTTGGTTGCCATTGTAGATGTGTGGTCTGGATTGGTTCTTGCTATGTGCTGTGAGTGGTGGATGGCTCAGGAGAAGTACAGTAATGTTTTAGGAAGTCTGGTAACAAGGAGCCCGGACCCCGTGACGAATGACGTAGCCGACGGACTGGTAGCGCTTCGAGCAAAGCAAGGGCAAAGGGGCTGATCACGCCTTCTTGTAACAGATTGAATGTCTTTACGCGATCGACACTCAGCTTAGATATGTAGTTTAGACCGACTTGAGTCAACTTGAGAGATAGTCTCGCCGCCTCACTCTTGGGCCCCTTTGGCCGTTGGCTAGGCGTTTCTTGACGCAGGGTCTTCTTGCCCTAAAATTTACCGAGCCGCTGATTCGCTACCAGGGCAGCGGTTGCTTCACTATCGCCTCTTCACCTCGCTATCCAGCGAACTATCTAAGAAACGTGCTTCAATTCCGCTACCACGTTATGCATGCCCAGGTAATGAAACAGCTGCAATATCCTATATACACAGAGCCCCACCGCATTATCTCATACACTTTAACAACCCAACAATCTACATAACCGTACAATTGGTCGCGGGCTTGTCTGTATACTTGTACTTGTAATGGCTCTTATGCCTCCTTCTCTTTCGCCTGCCACCGTAGTATCCATTGCAGTCGCTGGCATAGCCATCGTCGTAGGCACCAAATCCGTTGTCGTACATCATTGGTTCATGCATAACCATCCCTGAGCCGCCCATCATCGGTCCGTTCGTGATCATCGGAGCATGCGACATCATGCTTTGAGGGCCATAAGGGCCAGTGAGGCGGTGGTCATAGGTAAAGCCCTGATTCATGGGAATCATAGCACCAGACATGGGTCCAGAAGTGATCGCTGGGCCTCCCCACCCACCAGACATGAACGGCGCGCTGCCCCACTGACCCGGGATCGCGTAGTTGCCACCAACGTGGTTTCGAAGCATCTGGTTACAACCCCAAGGTCCTTGAACCATTTCAATCGTCTCTCGATCTGCAAATCCGCCGTTACAAATAGGACAGGTGTGTGGCGGTGCAATTAGTGTCTGATAGGTTTGGCGGTTGGGGCAATTGAGGAGATCAGAAAGAAAGCCGCAAGGTTGGCTCATGGAGATCCAAGAATGACCGCATGTTGGCGAGTCGTATAGAGTGCAGCCGCACATGTCGGACTGATGGAGAAGTTGCACAAGGTGTAGGTCTCGGGTAGTCAGACGACACAGGTCGAGTGTCGATAGTCCACCACTCTCAGCAGGATACGAGTAGGCCAAGAAGGGGTGTTGGTAGTTGCGATGGGCTGAAGAGGGCTTCAAATCGTGAAGCGAAGAGTCTGTGATGGAGTGCAATCATGGAGCGACAGACGTGGGCGTAGAGGATACTGGAGACTGATCTGATATTGCTGATATATATAGTACATCCTGGAGTGCGATGTGAAGTATGGAGGCTTTTCGTGTTTACGCATTCATCGTTGGGAGTGAAGTCTGCCACGTTTGCCCCTTGATCGTTGTTGGATTCCAGGTTGTGATTCACGCGTGGCGCGATCACTATTCTTTGGGATCCTTCTTGTCAAGCAAGTCAACCACACGCTTTTCTTCGGCATCGGCGTCCTCCTGAGCCTGGTTCTTGATTTGTTGCATGAGCTCGTACAGCTGACCAATTTGTTGATCTATGATCCAGTCAGTAGGCAACGTTTACACATGTTGGTAAACCTACCGCTCATCTTGTCAATCTTCGCTTTGTCCATCTTGTCTTCCTTCCATGAATCTCCTTCAAGCATTTGACAATATGTTTGCCATTCCGATAAAAATCCGATCTGTTCATGTCAGAAACTGTGACGTTGCAAAGCCACTACCCTGGATTGATCGCAACTCACTATTTGTACAGGGTTGTCGATGTCCCTGTGCGCTCTGAACTCGGCCTTGACGTACATGTCACCAAGTAGTCGCTCTTCCACGCCCAACCTTTTCCTATGTGAGCGTAGCAGGCGACGGTAAAGCGGTATTGGCGGCAACAATGCAGCAGGTGCTGGCCTAAAGGGCCTAGATGCGCCTGCATCTGTTGCTGTAGCTAGTAATCGCGTGTAAGCTCTCATACTGGCAAAAAATCTGATGAAGCTTCAAAATATTGCGACAGAGGAACTGTGATGCATTCAGGAAGTGATGACCTCAGCCTCGGCTCTACTCTAGACTAGGGTGCTCCTTCCACTCCAATTGGCCCACACCGACAACTCCGATCTCGAAACAAAATCGCAATCATGCTGCCAACACCGTCCACATCCCACGTCTGTTTTGATCGCGTGTACGAACCAGCCGAAGACTCATATCTGTTACTCGATACGCTCTCTTCTGCGTCGGAAACCGCATACCTGAAAGAACGATTCGGCGATGCTTCAACAACCCCACCGTTGGTGCTTGAAGTGGGCGTAGGATCAGGCGTCGTGTTAGCCTTCGTCGCTGCGAATGCACGCACCATATTCAGTCGCCACGATGTGCTGACACTCGGGGTTGATATAAACAGCTTCGCCTGCAAAGCTGCTTCTCAAACAGTCCGCGATGCCATCACAGAGCGGGAGAATGGACGCTCGGTCTTCATCGATGTCGTGAACGGCGACTTAGCAAGTGCTATCCGACCGCACTCTGTCGATGTCTTCATATTCAATCCACCATATGTCCCAGCTGAGTTGCCCGATCTGACGAGCCACGACAAGTACAACACTGTGCCGGAAGGAAAGACAGCGACGTCATTCGAACAGGACTCGTATCTTCTAGAGTTGTCGTACGCCGGAGGCGAGGATGGCATGGTGGTAACCGATAGAATGTTGGAGCAGCTGCCGGAACTATTGAGCTCAGATCGAGGTGTCGCATATGTGCTGTTGTGCGCGCAGAACAAGCCGGAAGCTGTCAAACAGCGGATAAGAGATTGGGGTCCGGGCTGGATGGCGGAGACGGTAGGATCCAGCGGAAAGAAGGCGGGTTGGGAAAAGTTGGTGATCGTAAGAATTTGGCGAGACACAGACTGAGGAGGAACCTGTGACTGGCACGAAGAACGCGAGTGGACTTCGGTCAACTGAGGGTTGAAGCGTGGGCACAGAACTTTGCGTCCATCTCGACCAGAGCTGTCCTTCGACCAGGATAGTGATTGTGGTGGATCGACTTGACCACTCTATTGTGGTAAGGCAGGAGAGCGAGCGTCAGTCTTCGTTATTTGGGCGTCTCCTTGTCGTCCAGGTCAAAAGCTTTCGCGACGAGCAGCGATAATTCGTTAATGGTAACACGCTTGATCTCCCAGACGTTTGGCTTCCAGAAGAAGGCTTCGGTTTTGGTGCGTTCAGCACTGTGATCAGCCCCAGCTGCTGTTGTTACTTTGCGCGTGGCTATCCTTGTGCTGGATGAGATACAGTGGAGATAATCCTGACCAGCTGGAGGAAGAGTAGAGTAGGGTTGGGAGCTGAGGCAGGACTGTATGGGTAGATAAAGAAACCGAGCTCCCGGAGGAGGTGTTGTTGCGCGATATGTTGTCCAGATCAACAACGCCAACTAGTAGCACATCAATCGTACCATGTGATTTCATGTCACATCAGGACATATCATACATATTCTTATACACAACTATACATGACATTGCCCATTCCCCAGCGCCCTGTATCGCAAAACACTACCAGAACTTGACGTTCTTCTGGTACCAATAACTCCAGCTCTTTCTCCTCTCCTCTTCTGCCTTCCGCTCCATTTCCAGTCGATCTTGCTCTTCCCTCGCCCTCCGCCGAGCCTCCTTCTTTGCTTCAATACTCGCACGCTTCTTCTCCATGAGCTCTTGTGCTTGTTTTATGCCGGCCTTTTCCTTGGATCGGTAGTACTGGCATACTTGATAGGACACGACGGAGACGCCACACCAGGTTGCTACGGCCCAGTTGGAGGATGTGATGACCGGCTCTATGGTGCTGTCAGTACATTGCCCTACAGTCCAATCTAGGAGTTTCTTGTCACGTACTCCCTATTATAGCGGCCAAACTTCCTCCTGCAAAGCCAGCTGCTAGTCCTTGCAATTGACTGTCTCGTACGCAAGGGCGCTTGTGAAAGTTCAAGTAGTACTCTGGCCCAAGACTGCGTACTGCGTCGATATATGTGGGGCCGCCATCTGATGTCTTTTCTCCGCCTGCTGTATGCGCTGTGCCTCCGGGCATAGTGTTTGCCGGCGCGCGGGGCTTTGGCGGCAGCGCATTCAAATCGACGGTATTCCGCGTATCGTCGGCCATGGTGGTGTGATGGGTGGGTTACTGGAGGACGGCGGGGAGGCAAAATTCGCGCGCGTTGTCTCTACTGGAGATTCGAGGAGAGTTTTCGTATTCGTGGTTGCTGGTATTCCGACTGTGTTAGGGTGAGTCGCAGTTGATTCACTTTCTCAGGATGCGGAATAGGCCCGAAAATATCCAGCATGTATGATCCCACGAGATCGGGGACAGGGTGTGGCTGTGCTCAGCCACACCAAAATCAATCTACCGAAACGGGGAAAGCGCACAGCACGCTCGCGCGCGTCGCGTCCAGCATTTGCCGATCCACCCTTTAGGACTGCGAGACCCTCGACAAGACACTCCCACCGCCAATTGTCGATACCCCGTCTTTTCGCTCTTTCACTGTCCCAATGATACCCTGACCTGCATACTTAGCATTTAATACTCTTTTACCTTCTGCCACCATACACCATGGCGCCACGACGCGCAGGTCAGCCCTTCCGCCGGGTGGGCAAGCTGGGCAACACATCCTACGGCCCACGGAAACCCAAGACGGTCGATGCCTCGTCACTCCGCAGCGGCGAGGGCACCTCGCAAAACGAAAAACTCGAATCCACGCGCCTCGCCCACCGCATCGATGAGACTATGGGCTTCGCACGCTTCGACTCGGGCAAGAAGAAAGTGGGATGGCTCGTCAACATGCATTCGACAACAATAGAGGACGAGGATGTACCGGGTGGCAGAGCCGGCGTAGACTTTTACTTCATTGGCGACGAAGGCGACACATTCAAAGCGACACTCGAATACGACCCATACTTTCTGCTGGCGATCAAGAAGGGCAGGGAACAAGACGTGGAAGAGTACTGCAAGAAATCATACGAGGGCTTGATCAAGTCGATCAAGACGGTCGAGAAGGAGGATCTGAGCATGCCAAATCATCTGACAGGATACCGGAGAAAGTTCTTGCAACTCACATTTGCCAACGTAAACGACCTCTTGGCTGTCAGGAAAGCGGTCGCACCAGTGGTAGAGAAGAACAAGAAGAACGTCAATGCGATGGATACATATGCCGAGGTTGCAAAGTGAGTCCAGCTCGTCCCCTCTGCGTATACAATGGCTAACACGCACACAGTGGCAACGGCGCATTTGACTTTTTTGATAACGACGAGTACGAATACGAGAAACGATTTACGACCACCGTTGACGCGAGCGATTTCATTTTAGACATTCGGGAATACGATGTTCCCTACCACGTGCGAGTGGCTATCGACAAGGACGTTCGGATCGGAAACTGGTACACTGTCGAGGCCAAGCATGGCGTAATAAGCATCAAGTGCATAGAGGACCGCCTTACGCCAGCGGATCCCGTCGTCATGGCCTACGATATCGAAACAACGAAGCTCCCGCTGAAATTTCCCGACGCAGCTATCGATCAGATCATGATGATATCGTACATGATCGACGGTCAGGGATTTCTCATCACCAACCGCGAAATCGTATCAGAAGATATTTCGGACTTTGAGTACACGCCAAAACCAGAATATCAGGGTCCATTCATGATCTTCAACGAGCCGGACGAGAAGGGGGTGCTGGAACGTTTCTTCGAACACATCAAGGAAGCTAAGCCAACAGTCATGGTCACCTACAACGGAGACTTCTTCGATTGGCCGTTCGTCGAAGCAAGAGCTAGCGTACAGGGTATCGACATGTATCAAGAGATTGGGTTCAGAAAGAATAGCGAGGACATCTATCAGTCAGACTATTGTGCTCATATGGATGCCTTCTCTTGGGTCAGTCGAGACAGTTACCTACCTCAAGGAAGTCGTGGTCTGAAGGCTGTTACTATGGCTAAGCTTGGATACGACCCCGACGAGCTCGATCCGGAACTCATGACACCTTATGCAGCTGAACGACCGCAAACACTTGCAGAGTACTCTGTCTCCGACGCTGTCGCGACCTACTACTTATACATGAAGTATGTGCACCCGTTCATCTTCGCTTTGTGCAAGATCCTACCACTCGGACCAGACGACGCGCTGCGCAAGGGTACAGGTACCCTTTGCGAGATGCTTTTGATGGTGCAGGCATACCAGAAAGGCATCGTCCTACCGAACAAGCATCAGGCGCCGAAGGAAGCTTTCTGGGAAGGCCATCTTCTGGAGTCCGAGACTTATGTTGGTGGTCACGTCGAAGCGCTGGAAGCTGGCGTGTTCCGAAGCGACATCGCATATAATTTCGCTGTCGACCCTACAGCTATTGATGAGTTGCTCCACGATCTCGATGCGGCGCTTAAGTTCAGCATCGAGGTTGAAGAAAAGAAGAAGATGGAGGACGTCGTCAACTACGATGAGATCAAGGCCGAGATCGTTGAGAAGCTCATGCAGCTCAAAACTACACCGAATCGTAACGAGCGACCCCTCATCTACCATTTGGATGTTGCATCTATGTATCCGAACATTATGACAACTAATCGTTTACAACCCGATTCCATGATTGACGAGTCAAATTGCGCGGCTTGCGACTTCAACCGCCCAGGAAAAACGTGCGATCGCCGAATGCCATGGGCTTGGAGAGGTGAGTACCTCCCAGCTAAACGCGACGAATACAACATGGTCCGAAATGCTTTGGAAAACGAGCAATTCCCTGGAAGATTTCCCAATTCGCCAAAGAGAACATTCCAAGAACTGTCGGAAGACGAACAGGCTACTCTGATTAGGAAGCGTCTGACCGACTACTCCAAGAAGATCTACCACAAGGTCCACGATGCTACGACAATCGAGCGAGAGGCCATCATCTGTCAGCGTGAGAATCCATTCTACGTCGACACCGTCAGTGGCTTCCGTGACCGACGTTACGATTTCAAGGGCAAACAGAAGGTCTGGAAGGGCAAGACGGAGGCACTCAAGGCAGCCGGCGCTCCTGCTACCGAAGTTGAGGATGCAAAGAAGATGATTGTTCTGTTTGACTCTATGCAGTTGGCTCACAAGGTCATTCTCAACTCCTTTTACGGATACGTCATGCGAAAAGGATCCCGTTGGTACTCCCTCGAGATGGCCGGTGTCACTTGCTTGACTGGTGCCCGCATCATCCAATTGGCCCGCTCTCTAGTCGAGCGCATTGGACGACCCCTGGAGCTTGACACCGACGGTATCTGGGCTATTCTACCAGCGACCTTTCCGGAAAACTTTGCTTTCAAACTCAGCAACGGCAAGAAGCTGACGATCTCGTATCCTTGCACGATGTTGAACCACTTGGTCCACGCGCAGTACACCAACCACCAGTACGAGACACTGGTAGACCCAAAAACCTTCCGGTACGAGAAGCATAGCGACAACTCCATCTTCTTCGAAGTCGATGGGCCGTACAAGGCCATGATCTTGCCGACATCGAAGGAAGAGGATAAGAACTTAAAGAAGCGTTATGCTGTGTTCAACCACGACGGTAGCTTGGCGGAACTGAAGGGTTTTGAGGTGAAGCGTCGTGGTGAGCTAAAGCTCATCAAGAATTTCCAGGCTCAGATCTTCAAGTTCTTCTTGGAAGGTACAACACTGGAAGAAACGTATGGAGCCGTCGCGAAGGTCGCCAACCGATGGCTCGATATTCTCGACACTCGTGGAGCGACACTGGCAGATGAAGAGCTCATCGATCTCATTGTGGAGAACAAGAGTATGACGAAGACGTTGGAGGAGTATGGAGCGCAAAAGTCTACTGCTATCACAACTGCCAAACGTCTCGCTGAGTTTTTGGGCGAACAGATGGTGAAAGACAAGGGTCTAAACTGCAAGTACATCATCTCCAAGACGCCCAGGAACGCTCCCGTCACTGAACGTGCCGTTCCTTTGGCGATCTTTTCGGCAGAGGAAACTGTCAAAAGGTACTTCTTGAGGAAATGGTTGCGAGACGATCCTGGAGAGATGGACCTTCGTTCTATCCTTGACTGGGATTATTACCGCGAACGTCTGGCATCTGTCATCCAAAAGCTCATTACCATCCCTGCAGCATACCAGAAAGTCCGAAACCCCGTTCCCAGGGTGCCGCATCCTGACTGGCTTGACCGCAGGATCCGTCAGAAGGAGGACAAGCTCCAACAGACAAAGATGACGGATATGTTCAGCAAAAAGGTGTTAACCAACGGCGACGCCAACGTTGCGAACAACAAGCTGTCTGGAGATTTCGAAGACTTCGGCTCTGCAAAGCTAACGCAGAATCAATCCCAGATGAAGAAGGGCATAGTCACTAAGATGGTGGCGAAGCGCAAGGAGCCCGAGCCTGCAGTACCTATTGTCGACCCATACGCCGCACTTCCCAAAGTCATGCCAAGCATCGATAAGGACTATTCCGGATGGTTGATGTACCAGAAACAGAAGTGGAAGATTCAGCGAGAAGCACGGAAGCGCAGACGACAACTGTTCGGAGAGAAGGCTGTTGATGCGTCCGATGCGATCGGTAGCTTTTTCAGGAACCAGGCTCAATCTTTGTACATCAGTACATGGCAGCTTGTTCAGCTGCGACCGACCGAGACGCCAGGCGAGGTCAGAGCTTTCGTCCTGATCGACAAGAAGATACACGCCCTCAAGATCATCGTGCCTCGACAATTGTATCTGAACCTGAGGAGTGAAGATCTTCCAGATGTCTCGATTAGTGGGTGCTCTGTGGAGAAGGTCGTCAACCATTCTCTGCCGAACGGGCATCCATCGATCCATCTGTTCAAGCTCCAGATGTCGGAAGAGACATACGTCCAGGAAGCAAACAGTATTTCAGCATTGTTCAACCATTCCAGTGTCGAAGGCGTATACGAGAAGCATGTGCCACTCAATATACGAGCCATACTTGAGCTGGGTAGTACCTGCACATTCGACGAGTCGCAGAAGGGTGTGCTCGGAAAGGGTCTTGAACAAGGTTTCGATCTGTCGGCACTGCGAAAGGTGCCGACAAAAGAGCCATACCTGGCTGAGGCACCGTTCAACTATCTATACCTCTATCACGTCAGCAGCGGAGACCGCAACATCTACGGTATCTTCTCA